GATCAACATCTCGGTTGAGGACAAAGTATGATCACCAATTAATTCACCGAAAGAGATTGATGGAGATTTTTCGGAATTTATCGGTTGAGTTGGATTCTATAGCAAACAAAATATATTTTAGTTTGACCTCGTCCATTCAAGTTTCGATCTCAGCCACAAAAACTCTGTTTCTCTCTTCCTACATGAATTAATGGTAGTATGATCCTAACCTTGGGTTTTGCTGTATGATTTTCTTGGTTCTTCGTATGCCAAGTATGAATTAAATTGACGGTGAAATTGCCTCAATATAAAGGAAAGGTTCTTGGAATCTTCTTAGGTTTGATGGCATATAGATAGATCCAAACCCCTTCCCATGCACTGGCATTTTGTGATTTTATTTTATGAAAATATTGACACCTTCGCTTGTGATAAATTTTTGTTAGACACGAAATAAACTCATCATGCATGTAGTCATGATGATGTAAGATTGTGTCACACTTACATCATCCAAACCTTTGACACATCTTTCTTTGTTTCTCCCTTATCTAAACTTTTTAGCCTCCATCATTCGTTGGCAATGGACTTGATATGGCTTGTGGCTTTCCCTTAAACACATGGGTGTTGAATGACTAATTTGATAATGATGCTAATGATGTGAGGTGAACCTCAATACAATTGGACACTCGAAGGCATTAGATTTGTAAAGAAAACTCATACATCATGGTCTAGTTCCCACATAGTTCTTGATCCTCTTCCACACTCGTGCTCTCTAATTGGTTAGCACAGTTTAAACAAGGGTTCATCGTAAATAAACCCGCTCGTACTATTGCCCATTTGCAGATAGATCGCATGTAGTTCTATATGTTTATAGATAGAGCCCCTGACTGATTTTTGTTTTTGGGAGTAATTTCACACAATTTTAGCACAAAAATGTACTACATATTTATTTATATTTTACAAACGATACGCGTCTGTGTCATCTTCATCTATGTATTCAGTAGGTAACCTCTAGTCCTAATATACAGAACAACGCTTAGTATCGTTCCAAGCGAGCAAATAGAACCCCATGTAATGAAAGTTGTCCTATAACATACAACTCCTATACACACACCTTTGTTATCAGCACCCTTATCGTAAACAAGTGCTGCAATATATCCAAATAGAAGAGAACCAATGGGAATATTGGCGACGATAAGGTTGTGGTCGACGCTGAAATTCTCAGGGCCAAAGAGATCAGAAGTCATGGAGACAGCGACGGATGTTATGGCACCCGTGCACATCCCTATGATGCCGGTGCTGATGAACAAACATGTTTTCGACGAGCTCAACAGTAGTAAGAAGGAACTGGATATGGGTACCATGAGGATCGCCACTAGTCCTGGTCTTGATATTATGTATTTTCTCCTGCTGGAACAAGCAAAGATAAGAGTAAATTAGTCTAGTACATCTCAGTGTATGTTCGAAAGAGGAGTGTATGAAATTGAGCAGAAAAGACGGTCTTAATCCATACTATAATTATGATATTCATTATAAGCTTCTATGTGAAGCTGTCTTTTGATCAATGCAATTTAATGATATTGATCATATGTATTCATATTCTTTCACATATGAGTGTGTTGCTAGAAATTTTCTATATGAAAGTTGCTTGCGGTCCCGTTAGGGTATGCATTATGCGTAATGATAGGAAAGTGACAGGTTTGAGAGCATAGAGAGAAAAGCAAGAAAAAAAAAATCTTAATACTCCAGTAATTGCGTCAAACTTTGAAACTGTAATGATGATTGAGTGTTATAATTGTACAATTTAAGACGCTCCTGCCAAGGAGAGGGCCCTTATGGGAGGGGAAACTTGGACTCATCAATTTTATTTTATATTTTCAATTTATTTTTTAAAATCCGTTTGGAAATTTGTGACCGATAAGATTTGAATTTGGGTTGTTCTAAAACTATGTCAAATGCCTTATCACTAGACCAAAACACTTCAAAGTCACTAGAATATCTTCAAAAAGAAAAATCATAACATAATTAAGGGTTATAATTTTATATTCTTGCGTCTTTGATGCTTCTCTACCGTGATCAGAGTTCTATCAGGACAAACAAACTGACGAGTTTGGTGTAGCTCAACTTCTTACATAAGAAAACAAAGCCGGTCTTGCTGTTCTATTCTGAAATTAACATCTAATTATTGTTTACGCGAAGTTTAGGTTCTAAAGTTGGATTCTCATCCGTCGCTTGTGCAATCTATATAGCTTTAACACAACAGCTTGTAAGTTTGGCAGACGTTACCGGCCGCCATCTTGGGTTATGAAAGCGTGAAGCCGACTGATGAATGCCTCCGAAGGATCGATAGATTCAAGAAGTCCTGGTTAGTCCTGGACAAACGTTGTCCTTCGTTTGTATTTTTGATTTTTAATTTTTTAAGCATAGGTCAACATAATGACACATGGCGTTGAAACATCCAGAAACATTTTATAGCATGTCATCTAGCTAGCTAGGGTGTTCAGGGCCAAGCCCCAGATATTCAAGATCTTTGACCAGCTTTTACCTACACAGGATCAGAGCATCATGAATGATATGCACGGGAGAAATTTTAGCAGGGTGTTTTTTTTTCATATATACCCTTCGCATCTTCCATAGTTGCATATTTACCCTCTAAATCTTGGTATATATAGGTGAAATTACCCCTCAATTCTCTCACAATGAGCTTTTCTACACATCTCGCTTAAGAATTTTAGCTTTTAAACTATAAATTATCGAAGTTTTTTTAAGCAGTACCGTTTATAAACAAATATTGTTACATGGGATAGTAGAAAAGCCTAGTGTGAGCAAAGTGAAGGGTAATTTTGCAAATACTAAGATTTTTTAGGGGTAAATTTGCACACGTGGAAGTTTTGAGGGGATATATGCAAAACCCCCCATTTTAGACCTGTTTAAAAAATATGCTGACATGTACGGCTTTTTGATTAGTCGACATAATCACATCACACAGAGAACTTTTAGTACAAAGTGCGTCTACTACAAAGTGCGTCTACTGGTAGACTGACATGCCAATTAAATCAAATTGAGGCATATATAGGAGCTCGGGAATTGGTATATGGTCTAAAAATTATTATTTTTCTTAGTGTACCAGCTATCCAGTAAAAAAAAACGTTAAGGATCCAAAATATGGGACCATTGGAGGGGACATGTGTGGTATCCCCCTCCTATTGCATAATGAGCTGGCCATGCCAGCTCATTAGGCAATAAGAGAGGGCATCTCATCTGTCCCCTCCAATGGTCCCATATTTTGGATCCCTGTAGCAGCGCTCATCTAGTAAAACTTACTAACCTCGTCGTGAACAGCGACAGCGGTGCTGACGACAATCTACCGAAGAAGGTGAAGGACGATGATATCGACAACAAAACATCCTCATTTACATTCCGAGACTCCGCGATCTGGCCCAAGTTGTTAGCATACACAAGCCCTACGGTACCCCCACACAAATACACCAAAAAGTACAACCAGAACTCTACTCTCTTGACCGACTTCTGAAGTGCACGTATGCAACCCTCTTCCCTCAAGTTCTCTTCGTTCTCAACGCCCTCCCCCTCCTCTACGCTCCCTCCCCCAAAACCCCTCTTTCTATTTTCAGTGACACCACCCTCCGGCCGGTTCTTCTACCGCCCCTACCTGCACTTCGTCGCAGTCCTGCACTCTCTCAAGCGCCTTAAATAAAGGCACTGCGGCGACCAAGCCAACCATTATCAGTAGAATGATCGGCATCAAAATTGAGTGTTCTGAACTTAAGAATATGCTCTCAACCACGACATACACGCCCGTCGCTCCTGCGATCACGAATACCGCAAGCAGACTTGAAGCTGCACCGGATCGAACCGGTGTCGTTTCTTTTAGAAATGGTGCGGTCAGAAGGCTCAGCCCAAGGGGCACAAAACAGTTGAGCAACAAGTATATACTCTTGCTACTCAAATCCCTGCCCGCGATCAGTTGGGCTAAAGCTACGTACAGTTTAGCGCTTAGCCCTGCGTAACTCGTCGACAAACCAATAACGAACCCGTCATCAACGGCAAAACTCCTCATCGCTGCGACGTAACAGGTCGTATTGAACCAGCAGATGCTGTTTCCCGCCAGCGCTTGGAGAAGAAAGTACTGCCAGTATGAAACCTTCGATATTGAATTAGAAATGAACAGGTACTGGAATCCGTAACCGATGAAGCCTACGGTCGAGCCAATGGCGAGGACGCCAACTACCGGCAGAGGGGGGAGTCGAGCGGGCGGCGAAGGCCGGTAGCACCAGCGAGGGAGCGTTGCCTAGCGCGGACCGGCCACCGCGAGGTTGTTCAGTTGGAGTTGTGTGATGCCGAGTCGGGATTTTAGGGTCGAGGAGTAGGCAGGGAAGTCCGTGTTGGTGCTGCTAATTGATTGGAGCCAGATGATTGAGACTAAGGTTAACCATGGGAATATTTGAGGCATTGAGATGTTTTTTTTGTTTGGTTGTTAGGAATGATGCATGAGGTTTAGCTAGCTTTATGGATTCTCAATGTAAACGAAAAAGCGTTTGGAACGTCTACGTTAGTTCGAGAGGGGAAAAGGGGAAAGGAAACGGGCGGTTTCAGAGTTTTTTAGTGCAAAAATTTAACTAGTTTATGTTGTAAGTTTCAGGTCAGGGTCTAGCTTGATATTTATATATTAGAAAAGTTGTATATTGAAAGGGAAATTTTGGTAATATAAATGAGAATGTTGAAAAAGTGAAGCTGGTAGGATCTATAAATTTTGTGAGGTGTTGTACGATGGGAAACCCTATGGCATACATTTCCAAATTTATGAACGTCTTGCGACATTTTTCAATTGGGGATGGTTGTACTGAAATTAATGACCGTGTGTTAGATATCTAGTCCACTCATTTGGGAAAGCAGTTTGAAGATTTTGGTGACAACTTGGAGAAATTGCTATGTATATATGTACTTGATTATGTATTTTTATGTGAGGCCAGCGATGTCATATCATGGATTGGACTGAATGGAAACCATTGGACATTTAAGTTGTCTAAATATTTGCCTGACTTTATAGAATTACGTTCATTTTTTGATAGACTCAGTAAAGGTATTATTTAATAGGGTTTTTTTTGTCTCTAGGCCCATTTGTTTACTCCCATTTATTTTTAAACACAAGTACTATTATTTGTATCTTTAGGCCCAATTCACTTTTGGTATTTGTTTTTAAAGCCAATTCTAAAATACAATACTTTTACTACTTATATTTATACAAAATGATTGTAAAAACCCCAAAATACCCCTTTGATTGGCCCAATAAAACCCAGTACTCTCTCATCTTCCCCATTTCACCTCAGCCCTAAATTGAAAAAACGAGATCCCATTTTCGTCGTCGCCCATCTCCAACCGTCGACGCCCCGCTCCAGCCGTCGCCCATCTCCAACCGTCTAGCCGTAGCCCGCTCATTTTCCTACCCAGTATCTCCCTCCTCCTCTCACCGACGATTTTTCTCGCCGCCGTCAAATCCTTTCGACGTTTCCCGCTGCCGCTTCTCTGCCCCTCAAGTATTGTTTCCCAATAAGCTATTGGTAAGTGAATCTTATCAGATGACCCCCACTTCTCCTTTTATTAACTGAAAACCTAATTAGAAGTCAACTGTTTCAAACTGAGAACAAAACTGGAACCGAAACCCATTTCAAATTCGGTAATATTCGATTACTAGGGAGAGGTCCGCCCATTGTTACGCGTGATCCATTGCCAGTCTCGACTATATTACTTGAATCTAGAATGATAATTTTTTTTTAATTAGGGTTCCTAGGTCTCTTAATGCTTCTATTATTAGGATTTTGTAATTAACATGGCATATATGTAAGTGAATGGATGTTATTTTGAATTTGATTACCACATAAATCAACGATAAGCAGAAATAAGAAATTTACACATGAACAATTGGTAATTGGTGTGTGCGTCAACCGGTACTTGTTCTTTTTTGAATAATTACATGTGTGGTAATGAGTAGACTGCCAAATAGGTTTGTGCTCTACTTATGAACGTTTGCCATCGGTATAAGCCAGCAACGAATTCATTTTTATTACAACTTTGACTTATTGGTTCTCTGTTATTATTATGGGGTTTTTGTCCTGTCAAAATTAGATTTGGTTTGCTCCTTGTCCTTCTTTGTTTCCTTGAAAATGACTGACATGGTTCATCATTGGTTCTATTAATATTAGTTCTAAATTGTTGTTGCCTATGATATCGTGGTAGTTTGATGTTTGATTCTGGGTATGACTGACATGGTTTTGGTAAGGGGTATTGTGCTTCTACAAAATGCTTTTTATTTGATGTTCTTTCATGTATTGTGGAGGAATCAGAGAGCAAGAAGCTTTGTAGGAATTAGTCATTATAGCAAACAACAACAAAGCCTTTAACCCAAGTTTGCAACTATCTATTACATTCTTTATTATTCTTTGCATGTTGAGAGTTGTTTATATACTTAAATTTGTTCCTAATGATGCTTGTAGCGCGTTGAGCCTCCGAGACGAGTAATGGGCCAGCTAGAAAAGGAAAAACAAGAAAGAAGAAAGAAGAGGGAAAACTGGATTTAAGTTAAAATTGTTCTGTAATATATGTATCTGAAATATGTGTGAGTATGTTTTGTAACATTTCTCAGCTTTTGACTAAGTTTGTGACTGTGAATGTATCTGAAATACATGTGAAGATGTTTTGTAACATATATGCGAGGATGTTTTGTAATATATTTCAATTTGTGCTGCAAGTGTAACATATATGCGAGGATGTTTTGTAATATGTGAGGATGTTTTGTAACATATATGTGAGGATGTTTTGTAATATGCGAGGATGTTTTGTAACATATATGCGAGGATGTTAAAATTGGTCATTGTTAAAATTTGTATGATCTCTAAAATTGTGACTGAATGTAGTGATGAGTTTGTAGCATATTTCAGCTTGTGATGGTGTTTGTGATTGAAAATGTACCGTGTTAAGTGTAGAGGATGTTTTGTAACATATCTATGTTTGTGATTGAAAGTGTAGCGGGTTATCATGTAAGGGTAGTGGGTTGCACTGTAAGTGTAGCGGGTTATCATGTAAGGGTAGTGGGTTGCACTGTAAGTGTAGCGGGTCAATGTGCTATACTTACATGTTAACGTGCTATACTTACGATATAACGTGTTATACTTACAATTTAACGTGTTATACTTACATGTTAACGTGCTATACTTACGATATAACGTGCTATACTTACAATTTAACGCGCTATACTTTCAATTTAACGTGCTATAATTACAATTTAACGTGTTATACTTACAGGTTAATGTGCTATACTTACAGATCAACGTGCTATACTTACATGTTAACGTGCTATACTTACGATATAACGTGTTATACTTACAATTTAACGTGTTATACTTACATGTTAACGTGCTATACTTACGATATAACGTGTTATACTTACAATTTAACGTGTTATACTTACATGTTAACGTGCTATACTTACGATATAACGTGCTATACTTACTGGGTAATGTGCTATACTTACAGGTTAATGTGTTATACTTACAGGTTAACGTGCTATACTTACAGGTTAACGTGCTATACTTACTGAGTAACGTGCTATACTTACAGGCTAACGTGCTATACTTACTGAGTAACGTGTTATACTTACAGGTTAATGTGCTATACTTACAGGCTAACGTGCTATACTTTTAGGTTAATGTGCTATACTTACGATGTAACGTGCTATACTTACTGGGTAATGTGCTATACTTACAGGTTAATGTGTTATACTTACAGGTTAACGTGCTATACTTACAGGTTAACGTGCTATACTTACAGGTTAACGTGCTATACTTACTGAGTAACGTGCTATACTTACAGGCTAACGTGCTATACTTACTGAGTAACGTGCTATACTGTGCTATACTTACAATATAACGTGCTATACTTACAATATAACGTGTCATAACCCAGTTTTCAGCTCATGAGTCGACCCATAACTCATCATGAGTCGACTCATCAGGTTGGGTCGACCCATGACTGTCATGAGTCGACTCATTATATCAACTCCTGTTGTTAAAAGTCTCTGCTGAGTCGACTCATCACCTTATGAGTCGACCCATGAGTCATAAGTCGACGCACGACTGAACATGAGTCGACTCATCGAGGGTTTTCTGGTTTTTTTCTAAGTATAGCACGTTATATTGTAAGTATAGCACACTATATTGTAAGTATAGCACGCTATATTGTAAGTATAGCACGTTAACCTAAAAGTATAGCACATTATGAAGTAAGTATAGCACGTTATGGAGTAAGTATAGCACGTTATATTATAAGTATAGCACGTTAGCCTGTAAGTATAGCACATTACTCAGTAAGTATAGCACGTTAACCTGTAAGTATAGCACGTTAACCTGTAAGTATAACACATTAACTTGTAAGTATAGCACATTACCCAGTAAGTATAGCACGTTACCCAGTAAGTATAGCACGTTAACCTGTAAGTATAGGACGTTAACCTGTAAGTATAGGACGTTATATCGAAAGTATAGCACGTTATATTGTAAGTATAGCACATTAACCTAAAAGTATAGCACGTTATGAAGTAAGTATAGCACGTTATATTGTAAGTATAGCACATTAACCTAAAAGTATAGCACGTTATGAAGTAAGTATAGCACGTTATGGAGTAAGTATAGCACGTTAACCTATGTTTATACGGTTGATGCTTGTAAGCGATTTGGGATGTTATCTATGTTCAGTTGAGGCATTTTGTGAGACGCTTCACGTTCAACATGCTTTTACCAAGTAGAGATCAATTACGATTGCATTTAATTATATGATTAGCAATTTGAGATGTAGTTTACATTGCGTCGAGAAAATGATGTACAAGTTATTTGCAGGCGTTGTTGTGGCAATTTGTGGAACACTTCATGGCATCATGCTTTTGCCAACTTGAGTTTAATTAGAAATGCATTAGGTATATTGTCTCGTTGAGACAAATTATCAAACACCTTACATGCGTGTATTTTCATTTGCCTAGCTTTTTTTCTTTTTCTTTTTCCTTTTTTATTGGGGTAGTACTTCCAGCAATTCTGAGAATCAATCGCATAAAAAATTACTCAAACACACTGAAACCCACAAAGAGGAGCATTTACAGCAAATCAATCCAAATGCCTCATATTTCCTCTACAACTTCCCATGACAAGAAAATGGGGCAAGTTAGATTAGTTGTTCTCACATTTCACCTAAATCCTAAGCACCTATTTCTTCAAAACTCAAATTACCTAAAAAAAGGCAGCTCTTTCAGCAGACAAACCTCCATCCAACCAAACTAATGCAATTTTGATTGAAAAAGACCATCAATACACTGAGAACCCATTACATCCAAATCCTTAAAACAAACTAAAAAAATCCTAATTAAATAAAAAGGCAGCTCCTTTAGAGAACAAACATCCGATCAATCCCAAACTCATGCAATCGCGACGAGAAAAAAGAGGTCGACGGCGAGATCTGGGACGGAAACGAGGCGACGGAGCAACTAAGAGGTTGACGGCAATGATTGATCACGAGGTCGACGGCCGACGCTCCTCCGCCGACGCCAACAACACCAACCGCG